AAGGAGTTCAAAAAAAGACGGAGGAGGTGTGATGGTTGCAGTGTCTAAAAATATTTCTTCTTCTCGAAAATCAAATTGGGAAAGTAATGCAGAAGATTTATGGGTATCTATTGATGTTAAAACTAACGACACACTCCAAAAAATTTCTATCTGTGCCGTTTACTTACCTCCTGTTTCTTCTGAAACTTTATCTAGCTTTTTAGAAAACTCTACTGATATCATAGATATATCAGATAAAGTCATAATATTGGGCGACTTTAACTTAGGTTTTATTGATTGGTCCCGTAAGTCGGATAGTGACCCATGTATTGCAATAAATTATGGTTCGAAACTAGGACTCTCTCTTATTGACTTTATGGCTGTCAATAATTTATCGCAAATGAACGATGTGTCTAATGTTGATGGTAGAATACTAGATCTAGTTCTATCCAATGTTGATTGTTTAAATGTTACTAAATCTATAAGTATGCTTAGCAAAGTAGATCAAAAACATCCTCCAATTTTGATATCGATCCCAAAACTTACTTCCGAGTACCTCAAGCCGATAATAAGCCATCGTTACAACTACTTTAGAGCAGACTATGGCAATATTGTACCTTACTTGAAGAGCATTAACTGGCAAGTGGAGCTAGAAAAATGTCAAAATGTTAACGAAATGACTAATATATTTTACCACTTTTTAAATATAGCCTAACATCCTATATTCCTAAAACAAGACCTAAACTAACTAAATTTCCTTCGTGGTTTAGCAATTCCCTAATTAAAATAATTTCCGAGAAAAGCAGAAAAAGATTAAAATATTTGAAATATAAGAACCCTCTTGATCAACTAGAATACGAGCTTCTTCGCGAACGTGCTCATAATGTAAGTAGTCAATGCCTTTTTTAATTTTAAAAAAAGAATTGAAAGCGATATTTCTAAAAATCCAAAAAGCTTTTGGCGTTTTGTGAAGGGCAGGCACAATGGTGTATCCAATATCCCAGCTATAATGTATCAAGCTGATCAGGTCGCAAACACCGGACCAGATATTGCCCAAATGTTTGCAAACAAATTTTCATCTGTTTTTAGTAAAGTGGCTGCAAACGACGGCGGTGACGTATCTATGTTCAATAATTCATGTTTAAATTCTGTAAAATTAACTGAAAGAGACATTATAGGTGCAGTCAAAAAAGCTTGACATTTTCAAGGGAGCTGGCCCAGATGAGATTCCCCCTGTGTTCGTCAAACGTTGTATCTCGGCCTTAGCGTTACCACTGGCTATTATTTTCAATAAATCTTTGCGTGATGGAGTATTTCCTGATATTTGGAAAAATTCAAAGATCGTTCCGGTATTTAAAAAAGGCGTCATTAATGACGTTAGTAACTACAGACCGATTTCAATTATTTCATGTATTCCTAAATTGTTTGAATCCTTGATATTTCCAATTATTACGCGTCATAAGCACATGTATATCAGACCATCAACATGGGTTTAGGAAGGGTCATTCGATTGAAACTAACCTTGTATCATTTATGTCGTATCTCTGTAAAGAAATTGACAAAGGACAGGAAGTTGATGCTATATATATGGATTTTTCTAGTGCATTCGATAAAGTCTGTCACTCGCGCTTAATTAACAAGCTAAAAGGATATGGGGTATGTGGATCTTTGCTAGAATGGTTCCAGTCTTATTTAGCAAAAAAGACTTCAGTTTGTGGTAGTGAATGGTTACAAATCAGAAAGTTATATAGCGTTCTCAGGCGTTCCGCAAGGATCGCATCTGGGTCCAGTCCTTTTTGCTGCCTTTATCAATGATATAACTTTTGAAATACGCAACTCTGAATTCTGTCTCTTTGCTGACGATTTAAAAATATACAAAACAGTAAAATCTATTGTAGACATGCAACTCATCCAAAGTGATTTAAACAGAATTAGTACATGGTGTCAATTAAATGGTATGATACTTAATACTAAAAAATCATATCACATTAAATTCTCAAGAAAGTATATACCTTTCATGTCCTCCTATAAGATGAACTCTGATACCTTGGAGCAGGTTAAAGAAGTTCGAGATTTAGGCGTAATAGTGGATAGCAAATTAAATTTTAAGTCTCACATTGACGCTACCGTCCAAAAAGCTGGAAGAATGCTTGGCTTCCTAAAACGAAACGCTAAAGGTTTTATGTCAGCCAAAACCAAAATAATTTTATATAACGCCTTGGTTCGAAGTCACCTAGAGTTTGCATCGGTGGTTTGGGGTCCTCAGTTTATCACTTATTCCCAACGCATTGAAAGCATACAGCGTTCATTTACTAGACATCTTGCGTTCCATTCTTCGGACATTTCCCACCGTAACACCTATAACGTTCGTCTCAAACATTTCGCAATGATGTCACTTTGTGACCGTCGTGTATTGTTAAATATATTGTTTTTAAAAAAAATAATTTCTGGTGCCGTAGATTGTAATAACCTACTTCAGTGCATTAATCTTAACATCCCATGCAACTATCCACGCCATCCTATTACTAAAATCTTTTACATCCCTGCCAGTAGAACGAACCTCTTAAAAAATTCGCCTATATCAAAAATTTGCGCCGAATACAACCGGGTATGTGTATTTGTTGACATTGACATTTTTCATGACTCATGCATTAGTTTGAGAAAGAAGTTATCTGTGTACCTGCTCTCTAAGTAGGTTCTTAAAATTTCTTAAAATTTTGTAAAATTATTTTGATAATCTGTGTACTATTTTTGTGCTTCTTTTTTTTTTGTTTTCTAATATTCGTATTTATAATAACATATCTTAGATTTTAAGAGAATGTTGTACACGTCTTTATTGGCGTACATACCAGGCCTTTGTTTTATGTAAGATTTGCATATAAATGTATTGTGTGTTATGCTGTTGATGTGTCATAATAAATAAATAAATAAATAAATAAATCCCGGTGATCAGGTCTGCAGGCAGCCGTAATTCTCTTTCAAAGTTTGCGAAAGCTGGTGTCACTGCTGTACTTTCGTGAACAGCGCTTCGATATGACAACAAACACGGTTGTATGTGCTTGTCACAATCTCGTTGCCGATTGTCTACAACTTTTGCTAGGTACCTCTCCAATGTCTGATTAAATCGCTCTACCATTCCATCAGATTGCGGGTGATAAAAAGTCGTTCTTGTTTTATGAGTACCCATAACTCGGTAAGTTTCCTGGAATATTTGAGACTCAAAATTCCTTCCTTGATCGTTGTGAATCTCTAAAGGTACTCCAAAACGACAGAAGACTTCATGAACTAGTTTATCTGCAACTGTTGAAGCTTCTTGATTTGGAATGGCGAAGACTTCTAGCCACTTAGTGAAGTAATCCATCACAACCATGAAATACTTGTTATCGCTTTTACTCTCCGGAAACAGCCCCGCCACGTCAATGGCTATTCTCTCCCATGGTGCACCAAGATTGTACAACTTCAACGCATCTCTACTACGAGTCTGAGGTCCCTTTACAGCCGCACAACTTGTACATTTGCGACACCAGTCCTCGACGTCGTTTCGACATTGGACCCAGTACAACCGTTCTCAGATCTTCAGTAGAGTTCGTTTAACTCCCAAATGGCCTCCTGAACAATGATTATGGTACAGCTGTAGAACATCCGGTAATTTAGCTTTAGGGACAACTATTTGCAAATGACAGCTGTCTCCCCGAACATTTTCCCATTTACGGCACAGAACTCCATCCTGAAGCAGCAAGCTGTCCCACTGGGCCCAATAGCTTTTAGTGGTCGAACTCATCGCTGAGACGTCACTCCACTTGGACTTGGGAGCACTGGCCTTCATCCATTCCAGAATCGGCTTGATGTCCGGATCTTCCTGCTGTGCACGTTGTAAGCTGTCCTTCCAACCGTTGCTGAGGTGGTCTGCCCTGAGCATCCTCACGGATACCACTTCCTTACTCTCTTGCCTAGTATAATGTTTGCAATCTTCAGGACAAGGTCTTCTTGACAATGCATCTGCGTTGCCATGAGATTTCCCGCTGCGATGTTCGATCTCAAAGTCGTATTCCTGCAGTAGTTCAATCCACCTCGCAACTTGTCCTTCTGGATTTTTAAACTGCAATAGCCATTTTGGTCAGTTCGTAAGTGAAATTTTCGTCCCAGAAGATATTTGCTAAAATGCTGCAACGACTTTACCACAGCTAGCAATTCGCGTCTTGTGACACAATAGTTCCTTTCCGGTTTTGACAACGACTTGCTGAAGTACGCTATCACGACCTCTTGGTCACCATTCCGTTGAGACAACACACCGCCAAGTCCTATATCACTTGCGTCTGTGTCAACTATAAATTCTTTGCTTGCATCAGGGTATCCCAAAATAGGTGTTTTACACAGACGGTCCTTGAGCTCCTGGAATGCGATATTACAACTTTCATCTTAGCAAAAATGTCGCTTCTCCTCGGTTAGCTTATGCAGAGGTTTGGCTATATCTGCAAAGTTCTTCACAAATCGCCGGTAATAGGAGCACAAACCCAAAAATGCTCTAACCTGCGTCTTGTCTTTTGGAACCAGCCAATCCCTTACAGCGGTGATATTCTCTGGATCCGTGCGGATACCTTCTTCCGATACTACATACCCCAAAAAGTTAACTTGCCGTTTGAATAGTGAACATTTCTTCGGACTCAACTTGAGGTTGGCACTCTGAAACTTCATGAGCACGCGTTCCAGGTTTTGATGGTGTTCCTCAAACGTACGGCCTACGATGATGATGTCATCCAAGTAGACCAGACAGGCATCGCGAATTAGCCCGGTAAGTACAAGTTTCATCAGTCTTTCAAACGTTGCTGGAGCATTGCACAACCCAAACGGCATTAATTTAAATTGCCACAGACCCTTTCCCGTCGAGAACATAGTTTTCTCCTTGTCCTTAGGGTCAATTTTAACTTGCCAGTAGCCACTTTTTAGATCCAGCGTGCTAAACCACTTTATTCCTGTAAGCATGTCCAGTGTGTCATCAATTCTTGGCAAGGGATAGCTGTCCTTCTTCGTAACGTCGTTCAGACGTAACAAGCTGACGACATCCTTCTTCTTTACCAGCACCACTGGTGAACACCATGGATTAGAGGAGGGTTCAATAACACCATGCTTCAACATTCCTTCAATCACGGTTTCCACTTCCTTTTCACGTGCTACCAGCAATCTTCTTGGCCGCAGACGGATAGGCAATTCTTCTCCTGTGTTTATTTTGTTTTGAGATAAGCCAGTCTTTCCTATGTCAGCATCGTTTGATGAGAATACATCGGCATACTTGGGTAACAACTTCTTCGCCTTGACCATTTCAGTCGGAGAGAGAACGCTGCGACAGTCTTCCAAAAGTGTGGTCACTCTCGTTTGTACATCCTTGCTGGGGGTCTCACTCGATAGATATTGGCACCAACGTAACCAATCCACTTCCTCACAAGTACCAACCACCGTGCCTTTTTCTATAATCTGTTCCCGGTTACACAGGTTCAGCACACGTACTCCTGAGATGTCAGTGGTTCTGACCAAGGTTCGAGCTACTTTCCATGGAAGCTAATTGTTTACCCTTTCCACAAGTACACAACGGAGAGCTTACCCAGAGTTTCGGGGAAGACTAACCGGAACCTCGGCGGAAGAACAATCTTCTTACTGCTGTACACGTTCCCTGGTAACGCACCTTCCATAAAAAGTTCCTCTTGTCCACATTTCAAA